CCAGCCTCCCACCTCCACCTCAGAACGCTCCGGCCCTGTCAGACGGGTCTCTCCCCCCCTGGAGCCCTGGATGAAGCAGACCAGTCGAGCTGCGGCATGAAAGAAGGTGGAAGGCAGAGTCCCCGGACATGACCCCTGGAAGTCTTCGGCAAGAAGATGATCCTAGAACAAGGAGATTAGCCAAGGCAGAGACCCTGTCGGTGGCAGCTTCCTTCGTGAAAGGTATTTTCATTTATACACCTATTGTTCCGTTTACAGGTCTGCAGAAGGTACTGGGAGATGGTGAAGACCTCTGGACCCGATTCCCCTTTCCGCAAGTTTATTGTGGAATTCTCCCATTCAAGAAGGGAACGAAAGGCGGTATCACGGTGTCCATAGGAACCCTCACGTCCCTGGAAGAGATATATCCACCTATCTCCAGAGTTTTTGCCTTCGTGCTGAAGGACCCAGTCCTGGATACTTTGAATGCCAACTAAGGGCTTCCTGGACAGGTAAGTGTGGCTGTTGTTTTGCAGATTGCTGATATGATCAGCCCGCTGAGATCTCCAAACACCATGCAACAGTGCCTTCTCTCCCAGGGAGCGTGCAGCATGACACCTACATTACTCCGGATCAACCCCAGTTCATTGATCGACAGTTGCGGACAGCCGGGGCAACGAGTGGTAAGGATAGCCATGTAGCTTTTCATGTAGGTTCTGTCCGGACAGCAGGTCACGAGATCCAAGGCTTGCCCGAGGCTCCAGAACCGTGCAACCTCTTGTGGTCGGTCCAGAAAGCACAATCTACTACAGGGACTGCCCAGAGAGAAGCCGGACGTAATGCTTGTGTCCCGTGAGCTAAGGGCCCTGCTGCCCAAAACCAGCGCCACAGCAGCCTCAGAATGACCCAGGTAAGAGTGAACCCCCCTCCACCCACCCCTACCCCCTCCCGGTGTCGGATGACCGCCCCACACCCCTGACCCTTTGTCCCCCCTGCCCCTGGCCCCCCTGTGCCCCCCCTGCCCCCCCCTGCCCCTGGCCCTTCCTGCCGCCCCCTTCCTCCCACTGCCCCCATTGCCCGCTGCCCCCCTGCCGGCCCAGCCCCTTCCCACCCCCTGCCCCAGCCCCCCATCCCGTGTCCAGTTTTCCACCCCCCCTGACCTGTCCTCGACAGAGGATTTCCCGCCCCCTACCCCCTGCCATCCACCCATCAGCAACTTCTGCGGCGGGGAACAGGAAGCGTAAGAAGGAGCCTTGCCAGTCCAGGGCCGGCGGAGGACCCCTCCTCCCTCCACCAAACGGAAGAAGAGGTTGGAAGAAGAGATGGGCTTCTTGACCCTTCCGGATGCCCAGATCTCATCCACCGACTTCGATGAGGGTCCTCACTCCCAGATCGGTTCCAGAGCCAGGACATTGTTCAGGCTTGCAGAGGTCACAGCGGTCGCCCCCCCCCTCACCACGGGAGGTAAGCCACAGCCCCTGCCCGACAAACCCCCTCATCTCATTATTTATTTGTTTTTTTTTTTTTTTATATGTTCTTCTTTCTTTTTTTTCCTTCCATCTTTTTTCTTTTTTATTTTCTTTTTTTCTTTCTTTTTATTTTTCATTTATTCTTTTTTCTTATTTTTTATTCTTTTCTTTTTTTTTCGTTTTTCCTTTTACTGTTTTTTCCTCTTTTTTTCTTTCTTTTTTCCGCACATGATGGCTGAGATTCTCCTATCTTTTCATTAATGGTGAGGAGCATCAAGGACGCTTCTAGGAGGCAGACTGTGCTGACCTTTCTTTCCACACAGCAGAGATGATGTTTACATGCTTCAGGAGTCGCGCCCCCCTTTTTTTTTTTTTTTTATTTCCCCCTCTGAGGAGGTACACACTCATCTTGTCCTCACCCAGTGTACCCCACGGTCTCCTCCTAACTGGATTCTGGGGTGGCGTATAGCAAGTCCGCAGTGGGTAGCTGTTTCTATAACAGGGGAGGACGATTCACTGTTGACTCAGTCCACGAGCTTCGGTCTGTGGCCGCCATTTATGGTCATAGACCGGCTCGTGGCGGGGGGAGCCCGTTTAGGCTCATCAACGTGTAAGCCTCCCCGGAGAAGAACGCAGCGGCTGGAGCATTTTCCAAACTCTGCGGACGCAACACGAGCACAGGGTCAACGAGAACAGTAGTTAAATCGGTCGGCGGTGAATTTCAACTGTCCGATAGTATGATGGGCGCAGCTCCAGCATGTACCTCTAAACTCGAAACGCCACCCGGTCGAAGCTGCTCCGGGAGGTGATAGTCAGGAGGCTTCCCTGCAGGATGACGCCGTGGGATCCGTAGGGCGGCGTATCCGTGAACTACCTCATTGAGGCCGCCCCGACGGATCTGATGCGTTTCCAGTGATAGACTTTGTGCACACTAGCTAGAGGCAGTACAGGCAACGGCGGGTTCTCCATTGTTCCCTGCTTTATCTCTGACCACAAGGGACCCATTCACTTTTCGAGGTGACCTTGGAGAGGGCTTTGCCCCCGGGCCCAGGCTCCAGGAAGCTGATTGCACACAGCTGCTTGGACGAATGAAGATAATGCTAGCAGAATCTCAGGGAAATCTACGGATGCCCTGGCGCAAGGAGGAAAGTCTTCTTTTCCCCAAGGTAAAGCGACTATACTGTTGGGAGTTTCGTTGAAAGTCAAGCTGCGCAGCTTCTTTCAGGCCATTTGGGATGCCCAGCAAGTGTGTGGCAGGAGGAGGAACTCAGGAGGCTGCCAGCGTCAGCTGCAGTCCCTGAAGGGACGCTACATCACTAGTGGTCTGGGACGTGGAGGCAAGTAACCTTAGAGACACCAAAAGAGCTTTAAAAAGCACTTTGAGGAAGAATCCAGGCACATTGTCCTTCTGTGCCAAGGTGGCAGGCATCTAGAGAAGAAGTGTAGAAGTGTTACCTCTACCCTTTTCAGTGAAACATCCCACTCAGGAACACACACCCCTGTCCGGAGCTGCGCGACAAGACTGGAACACTCCAGAAGGTGAAGGAGGCCGTGATGGAAGTGGTCAGCGACTACTACTCCCGACCTCTACTCCCCCCAAAGAAACAAGCACGGAAGCGGCCGACAGATTCCTTGTCAGGTATCTATAACGCTATTGATCCTGCAGGCTTGTCGGCCACCAACGCCCCTTGACGTTGGAGGAGCTGCACTCTGCCGCTAAATCCTTTAGGCGGGGCAGGACCCCGGGCTGCGACGGTCTCCCAGCAGAGCTCTATGTAGCGCTGTGGGACCTCGTGGGCCCGGACCTGCTCGAGCTGTACGAGGAGATGGTGGTGGAGGGCAGATGCCTCCTTCGTTGAGGGAGGGGATGATCACTGTCAGGGCTCCCGGGTATGACCAGAGGTCGTGTGACTGACGCAGGAAACGCAGACTTCAGATATGTTATAAACAATGTAATTTATTAACACTAACCATACAAACATAAACGCAGTGCAATACTAAAACCTAACACAGTGCAAACAAACCAACCAACCACCCACAGATAACAGTACATACAATGTAAGCGTCGTCAGGCAGGCCGGTCAATATCAGTCGGGCAGGTAGGTACAGGGGGAGCAAGCGGAGAATGGTCGGGTCACAGGCCAGGTTCAGCAGGTAGCGGGCAGCGTGGTACAGAGGGTCCAGGCAGAGGAGAATGGTCAGACAAGCCAGGGCTCAGAGCAGGGTCAGCAGAGAATCAGACAGGAACAGAGAGCAGGAACAGGATACAGGGCCCAAGAGAAACACAAACACCAAGGCAGAGTCTGCAGGTCTGAATGTCCCTTAAATACGTGAAAGAGAACAACAAAAGAGAAGCGCACCAACCTTGCGCATTACCTCAGTAACCAAAAATTTATTGAATAAAAGAATGGTACTCACAAACACGCAATAAAAACAAGCATGTAAGGTCCTCAAAGGGACTTTAGAGGCAAGATGCCCAATGCGAATCCCATCATGGAGGAAGCCACTCAGTACAGCTGACGCGTTTCGAAGGACATGCCTTCTTCCTCAGAGCTGAGGAAGAAGGCATGTCCTTCGAAACGCGTCAGCTGTACTGAGTGGCTTCCTCCATGATGGGATTCGCATTGGCATCTTGCCTCTAAAGTCCCTTTGAGGACTTACATGCTTGTTTTTATTCGCTGTTTGTGAGTACCATTCTTTTATTCAATAAATTTTTTGGTTACTGAGGTAATGCGCAAGGTTGGTGCGCTTCTCTTTTGTTGTTCTCTTTCACAGTTTTGTTTGGGCTTCCCCAGCCTTGATGTGGAGCTGCACGACCTTGTTTATTCCGGTGGTTCCTTTCTTTTTGGAGTTTGATTCCATCTACTCATCACAGGCCTGGGTCCCGGAGCGCAGGAGATATTACATTTGGTTCACTGTCCCTTAAATATACCAGTATAATTAGTTCCAGGTGTTTGACTGGCTGCAAGGTTGAGTCTCTGATTGCTGGGAGCACCCGCTGGCCAGCCCTGGTACTGCAGCTCATAAGGCAGCTGAGTCCCACTATTGCTGGCCAGTCCATTCCTGACAGTACCCCCCCCTCAAGGAGCGGCCTCAGGACGCTCCAAACAGTCCTAGCTGGGCAAAATGTTCCACCGCCCGGGTCTGGTAACTGGCGGGATATCAAAGACTGGCACACCGGGCAGGACTCCGGGCAGAGGCACATCGGGCTGGACTCCCGGGCAGAGGCACATCGGGCAGGACTCCGGGCAGAGGCACATCGGATTACCAGGCGAAGCAGCAGGCAGCGAGCCCCCAGGCGGAGCAGCAGGCACCGGGCCCCCAGGTGGGGCAGCAGGCACCGGGCCCCCAGGCGGAGCAGCAGGCAGCGGGCCCCCGGGCGGAGCAGCAGGCACCGGGCCCCCGGGCGGAGCAGCAGGCACCGGGCCCCCGGGCGGGCAACAGGCATCGGGCCCTCAGCGGAGCGGCGGGCGCCGGACCCCCAGGCGGAGCGACAGGCATCGGGCCCCCAGGCGGGGAGACAGGCGTCGGGCCCCCAGGTGGGGCGACAGGCATCGGGCCCCCAGGCGGGGCGACAGGCATCGGGCCCCCAGGCGGGGCAACAGGCATCGGGCCCCCAGGCGGGGTAACAGGCATCGGGGCCCCCAGGCGGAGCGGCGGGCGCCGGACCCCCAGGAGGAGCGACAGGTCTCGGGCCCTCAGGCGGAGCGGCGGCGGGCGCCGGACCCCCAGATGGAGCGACAGGTCTCGGGCCCTCAGGTGGAGCGGCGGGCGCCGGACCCCCAGGTGGAGCGACAGGTCTCGGGCCCTCAGGCGGAGCGGCGGGAGCCGGACCCCCAGATGGAGCGACAGGTCTCGGGCCCTCAGGTGGAGCGGCGGGGCGCCGGACCCCCAGGTGGAGCGACAGGTCTCGGGCCCTCAGGCGGAGCGGCGGGAGCCGGACCCCCAGGTGGAGCGACAGGTCTCGGGCCCTCAGGCGGAGCGGCGGGTGCCGGACCCCCAGGTGGAGCGACAGGTCTCGGGCCCTCAGGCGGAGCGGCGGGAGCCGGACCCCCAGGTGGAGCGACAGGTCTCGGGCCCTCAGGCGGAGCGGCGGGCGCCGGACCCCCAGGCGGAGCGACAGGTCTCGGGCCCTCAGGCGGAGCGGCGGGCGCCGCACCCCCAGGTGGAGCGACAGGTCTCGGGCCCTCAGGCGGAGCGACAGGTCTCAGGCCCCCAGGTGGGGCGGCGGGCGCCGGACCCCCAGGCGGAGCGGCGGGCGCCGGACCCCCAGGCGGAGCGACAGGTCTCGGGCCCCCAGGCGGAGCGGCGGGCACCGAGTCACCAGGCACGACAGTGGGCTCCGAGTCAACTGGCATGACCGCTGGCACTGGGTCAGACATTGGATCGTCTGGCTGGACAGCGGGCATCGGGTCACCAGGCATCAAGTCATTTGGCTCGACAGCGAGCATCGGGTCACCAGGTATGACAGCGGGCACTGGGTCACCAGGCATCAGGTCATTTGGCTCGCCAGCGGGCACCGCGTCATCTGGCAAGGCAGTGGGCACCGAGTCACCAGGTACGACAGCGGGCTCTGAGTCAATTGGCACGACAGCGGGCACCGGATCATCTGGATCAACAGCGGGCATCGAGTCAACTGGCCTAATAGGATCGTCAGGCTGGATCAGTTCATCATGCTGGGTAGAGGCATCAGGCTGAATGCCGGCGTCCGGCTGAGTAGAGGCTTCAGGCCGAGTAGAGGCATCAGGCCGAGTAGAGGCATCAGGCCGAGTAGACGCATCAGGCCGAGTAGAGAGGCTTCAGGCCGAGTAGAGGCATCAGGCCGAGTAGAGGCTTCAGGCCGAGTAGAGGCTTCAGGCTGAAGAGAGGCATCAGGCTGCATACAGGCATCAGGCCGAGTAGAGGCATCAGGTTGCGTACAGGCATCAGGCTGAGTACAGGCATCAGGCTGAGTAGAGGATTCAGGCTGAGTAGAGGCTTCAGGCTGAACCACGGAAGGCAGGTTCAGCGGTTTGGATACTGGCAGGGTGGTATTGGTTGGAAAGAATTTTCACTTTTTTCTGGTTTTAACTACTGGAGCACTGCAAGTAAACGCAGGTCTGCAAACGAATGGAGCAGCTGGAGACAGAGAAGAACTGGAGGATGGAACAGGAGAGGGAGCAGTTGCTACAGAGGACTTCTTTACAGGGTTAAAGGCAGGATAGGTGCAGCGAGTGGGAACAGGGTACTGACATGCGGTAGATAGCAGGGCAGGAGGAGCTGTTGGGAATGCAGGAATAGAGTTTTGAGGAAATAGATTAGAAGCAGGACTGGGTTTTTGTGTAAGCTGACTGAGGCTGGGTGCAACAAATCTGTCCATGTCTGCAGTATGGGTTGAACAAAGCTGAGCTTACACAAAGCCTGTCTGACCAAAGACTGCACTGCGTTTATACAATCTCTTACTGTCTGTGGTGAACATGTGGAATAACGCTCCAGAAAGTAACCCACATCATCCTCTAATAACCACACCAGGGACTCTACCTGGTCTGCACTAAATGGTGGCAAAAATTCATCCCTGCATTCGGGGGAACCAGATGAAACCAACTCAGCACAAACCTCAATCAAAGGCTGCACCTCAGAGAACTCTGTGCCCTGATCTACTAGAACATGAGCGAGCCGTATACATTCTAGCAGTTCATCCCGGGGATACTCCTTCAGAGTTTGATAAGCATACTCCCTGTCATCAAACACTAGCAGATATAAATACGCAACCTCATCCAGATCCATCCTTCCCATCAACAAGCCAAGATGGCTTCCCTGTGCAGCCACTTCTGGTCAGGATTGGCCTTGGTGTAATGTCAAGGCTCCCGGGTATGACCAGAGGTGTGTGACTGACGCAGGGAAACGCAGACTTCAGATATGTTATAAACAATGTAATTTATTAACACTAACCATACAAACATAAATGCAGTGCAATACTAAAACATAACACAGTGCAAACAAACCAACCAACCACCCACAGATAACAGTACATACAATGCAAGCGTCGTCAGGCAGGCCGGGTCAATATCAGTCGGGCAGGTAGGTACAGGGGGAGCAAGCGGAGAATGGTCGGGGTCACAGGCCAGGTTCAGCAGGTAGCGGGCAGCGTGGTACAGAGGGTCAGGCAGAGGAGAATGGTCAGACAAGCCAGGGATCAGAGCAGGGTCAGCAGAGAATCAGACAGGAACAGAGAGCAGGAACAGGATACAGGGCCCAAGAGAAACACAACACCAAGGCAGAGTCTGCAGGTCTGAATGTCCCTTAAATACACCAGTATAATTAGTTCCAGGTGTTTGACTGGCTGCAAGGTTGAGTCTCTGATTGCTGGGAGCACCCGCTGGCCAGCCCTGGTACTGCAGCTCATAAGGCAGCTGAGTCCCACTATTGCTGGCCAGTCCATTCCTGACAATCACGATCCTGTACAAGCGTAAGGGGGAGAGATGTGACTTGAAAAATTGGCGTCCCATCTCTCTCCTGAACGTGGACTACAAGATCCTTGCCAAAGTCATGGCGAACAGGCTGAAGGCTGTCATCGGACAGATCATCCACCCGGATAAGACTTGCGGCATTCCTGGCCGCAGGATTGCGGACAGCCTATCGCTTGTCCGGGACACGGTCCAATACATCAAGGACCGCCGTGTGCACGCGGCCCTGGTCAGTCTTGATCAGGAAAAGGCCTTTGACCGTGTTTCCCATGGGTTTATGTGCAGAGCCCTGCGCAGGTTTGGTCTCGGGGAAATGTTTTGTTCGTATGTGGATATTATGTATAACGATATTTGCAGTTCCGTGCAGGTGAACGGCTGGAAAACTGACCCCTTCCCGGTCCTCTCCGGGGTCAGACAAGGCTGCCCTCTTTCACCTCTGCTTTTTGTTTGCTGTATAGAGCTCTTCGCCGAATGCATCAGACGGAATCCAGAGATCGGGGGAATCACCGCACCGGGACCAGACAGACGGGAAGTGAAGTGCTCGCTCTACATGGACGACGTGACGGTGTTCTGTGCCAACCAGCGCTCCATCGACCTGCTCGTCCAGACCTGCGAGGACTTCGGCCAAGCTTCGGGGGCAAAGGTCAACTGCGGGAAGTCGGAAGTCATGCTCTTCGGAAAGTGGTTCCTGCCTTCTTCTGCATCCATGCCCTTTGGCATCAAGACAGACTTCATGAAAATTTTGGGAGTTTGGTTTGGTGCCGAGGGCGCAGCCCTGAAGTCTTGGGAGGAGAGACTGGCTAAAATGCGGCAGAAATTTGGACTTTGGAGCCTCAGAGACCTCGCCATCGAAGGGAAGACACTGGTTGTACTCCGCAGCGAGATTCTCCCTGTGTTGCAGTACCTCGCCCAGGCCTGGCCCCCACGGGTCAACACCTGTAAGGCCATCACCAGGGTGGTGTTTCACTTCATCTGGGGCTCCAAGATGGACAGAGTGAAGCGGGCAGTCATGTTCAAGGAACCCCTCAAGGGCGGTAAGGGCGTGCCCGACATCGCCACCCAACTGAGGGTGTTCTTTGCTTGCAACTGCATCCGCAGAACTTTGCCCAAACGCAATGTATCGCTTCTTCCTGTTGCCTCTCTGGAGGTCCCTCGGATGGGACAATTGGGACAGTTCCATCCCCTACAACTGGGACGCCCCTTGGTACTACTTGGATACCTTCAAGTTCATCAAGGAACAGGGGCTGCAGGGAGTCAAGCCTGACTTGTGGAAACCAAAGACCATCTACAAGCTCATCAGAGCAAGCGACATTTTGGAGTCGGTTCCAGGCCTGCCTTCAGACACCTGCAAGGTGGTCTGGAGGAATGTTTCTTCCAACATTCTCACCAACAGGCACAAAGACCTGGCATGGATGGCAATCCAAGGGGGGTTGCCTCTCAGGACATTTATGCATGCCAGGAACCTGAGCAGATACAGACACTGCCCCTTCTGCATCATCCATGAGGAAACGTCTCACCACGTTTTCTGGGAGTGCTCATTTGCTCAGACCCTGTTGGGGGCCCTGGAACCTGAACTCAAAGACTTTGTGTACCACAGACAGCCATCACTCACTTTGGGGTGTTGAATGGACTGTTCTGTTGAACTTTTTCTCTAGAGGACATTGACGGTGCCTGGAGGGTGCTGTGTTGCTTTAAGGACGCTTTATGGTGCGCCAGGAAGCGCCTCATCCACCAGCGGGAGAGGGTGTCCATTGAGGACTGTCGCAGACTGATTCTCAGTCTGCTCAGAGACTATACCTTGATGGACTTTAAGGAGGAAGAGGATGTCTAAAGATCTCCCCTTCCCCCTACCCCCCCCTTGCGTGTCTTTGTCCCTTCAATAAAGCTTCGGGCCTGTGTTTTCCCCTTTTTTTTTTCCCCTCCCCCCCCACACACCCGATGCTTGTCGTATGGTGTAATATTCGGCTTTCGTTTTTGCATGATTTCGTGACATTAGGAAAAGTATTGTGTATTAGGATGCTATGGTTTTTGGGGTAAGCGGCGTTATGCATGACGTGTTGGTCCGGGGGATTCATCCTCCACGCACATCACGTCAGGCATCATACCGCTGAGCGAATGTATTTATTTCTGAATGTATTTTATCGTATGCTTGGAACTGTATTGCAATGTGGTGCGCTGCGTCGAGGGTGAGATGTACCCCGATTACAAGTATCATGTTGTTTTTGATGCTTCTGTAATAAAAGTATCTTTTCAATCAAAAAAATTTCTGGATTTCTTCAGAGCAAGGAAGCGCCTCATCCACCAGCGGGAGAGGATGTCCATTGAGGACTGCCGCAGACTGATTCTCAGTCTGCTCAGAGACTATACCTTGATGGACTTTAAGGAGGAAGAGGACGTCTGAAGATCTCCCCTTCCCCCTACTCCCCCTTGCGTGTCTTTGTCCCTTCAATAAAGCTTCGGGTCTGTGTTTTCCCCTTTTTTTCCCCTCCCCTCCCACACACCCGATGCTTATTGTAGAATGTAACATTCGGTTTTTGTTCTTGCATGACTTCGTGAGATTAGGAAACGTACTGTGTATTAGGATGCTATGGTTTCGGGGTAAGCGGCGTTATGCATGACGTGTTGGTCTGGGGGATTCATCCTCCACGCACATCACGTCAGGCATCATACCGCTGAGCGAATGTATTTATTTTTGAATGTATTTATCGTATGCTTGGAACTGTATTGCAATGTGGTGCGCTGTGTCGCAGTATAGGGTGAGATGTACCCCGATAACAAGTATCATGTTGTTTTTTATACTTCTGTAATAAAAGTATCTTTTCAATCAAAAAAAATTCTGGATTTCTTCTCATTTCCTGGCCTGATGACAATGTTTTTTACTTGCAGAGGAATCAAGAAGGAAATCTCCTTTTGGGGCCACAAAGGGCAGTTAAGACTGACTTGGGCTTTGGCCTGTTTATTCAAAACTAAAATAAATGTTTTGCCTGGAAATACAGTTGGGTTGTCTTTACACCTATGTATTGTGTTAATACATGTTAACCAAATGCAATAACTGTGTTTGCAGTTGCATTAATTTTGAATGAAACCCCAGTGAAAACACCTAATGGACTTGCATTGAAGTGCACAACCATGTACTGTAATGCACTACTGTATGTTGTGGTGTGTTATGTTGGAAAATTGATCCAGGTCTAAATTTAGGTCTGTTGTGGTGTATTGGAAGCTTATTTATAATGAATAGACTGCCCAAGTGCAACGCACCTGTGTTAGGGCTCGTTCACACTTGACTGTTTTACCAACGCTTGCCAAACGCCCCTATAGCGTTTAGCAAGCGTTGGTCCAGCGTTTGCGGAGCGTTTTTTAACACTCGGCAAACGCGCCGCATGCGCGGTTTAGCAGCGGTTGCTAGGCGTTTGCTGAGCGTTAAAAATGCCCCACAAACGCCTATAATGAAGTTTAAATGTTGTTACTGCTCCGCAAATGCCCCGCAACTGCGGCCAGGCGTTTGCGGAGCGGCACCATAGACTAGAATAG